CCCAGTCTTGGTCCCTGACTCAGTGCACCTGGGTTCACCCTCATACCCAGTCTTGGTCCCTGACTCAGTGCACCTGGGGTCCGGAGAGGCACGTGGTGCCAGGTATCAAACCGTAGCTCCTGTGTGTGCCTAAGCAGGCACTTAGTCTGGTGAGCTTTCTCACCAAACCCTCATATTATTTTTTTAAAAACATTAATATTTATAAATCTTGGGTAGTTTTTGTCATTTTTTTTTCTCCAACTACTTATCTACTTAACAACCAGTTTCCGAGGTAGCAACTATTCCCTACAAGGTTAGTTAAGTATCCCCGAATATTTAATTTTAATTTCCTGTCCTATGTGTCTGTTGTACTTGTTCTTAGACACCATCAAGAATATTTATATGGGCAATCAACAAAGTTGTCATATTAAATGTTAAGTAATGCAATTTAGGTTTCATAGCTTTACCTGTATTGTGCCTACCTATGTGTGGTAGGTGAAAAACAAACTAATGTCATAAATTGTCTAAATGTTATTTTCTTGAAAAGACTAACATTGAAAAACAGCAGCTCCTAGTCTAACGTTGATGAATAAAAGTATACCCAAAATGACAAAAATAAAAAAAATATTTTTAAAGTGAAAGAATCGTACATACTGTCACTTTTCTTCCCAAGTAAGCTTCACTTATCTTGATATTGCTGGCTGCGTCTTGGCTCTTCACAGATAAATATGGTTGAGACGCATGTGGCTGACCATGGCACATATCAAAAGTGACGAGAACACCTTCTTCTCTGGCAACAAACCCACAGTTGCACGACACAGGATAGTAAAGGCTTCCGCAGTTCCACTGGCGTGCATGGATCTCAAAGTCCCGTGATGTGCTCTTATAAAGCACAAACGTCCCAGTCTTGAAATTATCATATATCCTATCATTAATAAAAGTCAATTACAGGGCTGGTGAGATGGCTCAGTGGTCTAAAGCACCTACTTAGAACAAGCTTAGCAAAGCAAAGGGACCGCGGTTCAATCCCCCAGCACCATATGCCAGCCAGCCCCGCCCCCAGGTGGGCTGAGCTGGCCACACACACACACACACAAATAAATAAAATTAAAAAAAAAAAAGTCAATTGCATCAAGCGGGTACAAAACATCACAGCAGCATTAGCCACGATCTGTATTAAATACATGCAGAGGCATTCAGTATATTTTGACACTCGAGAAATCTAGATTGCCAGAGGGGAAATAGATTGCATGAAGCAGAGTCAAAGAGACATGGAGGAAATTAAACTCAATCACAAGCTTGCAAAACCATTTAAGTGAGTGTGAAGACAGAGTTTCAGTTCTTGAAGATGCTGGTGCAGCTAGTGAAAAGGTAGCTTGCCAGAGGGTTGGAGTCCTGGGCAGCTATTTGTAGGCACTCAATGAAACAAAGGGGTAATAAGCATCTCAGTCCCTCCCGCTCCTCTCCCCACCCTTCACTCCCACCTGGACACACACCCTGCAGAGGGAGGCCTGCTGAATGTGGTGCACATGGCCATCCCTTCTTCTTCCTCCAGTACTTGCCCAGCTGTCGCCCTCAATTGCTGGCTGTCTGTACCCATTTTGCTTGTTTCTTTATTATTATTTTGCTTTGGTTGGTACTGGGGAACAAGCCTGGAGCCTTTGCACTGAGCCACATCCTTCAGTTATTTATTTATCTATCTTGAGACAAGGTCTTATTAAGTTGTGAAATTACTCAGACAGGGCCAGAACTTCTTCAAACAACCAGAACAGTAGTATTATAATTGTGTGCCTGACTCTGTTTGTTTGTTTGTTTGTTTGTTTGTTTGTTTGTTGAGACAGGGTCTTGCTTCATAGTCTTGCTAGCCCTGAGCTCACTATGCAGCTCAGCTTGGCCTCAAATTCATGGCCAACCTCCTGCCTCCGCCCCACAAGGGCTGGGACTGCAGGCGTGCACCACCATTCCTGGCTCAATTCTGTTTTAATGGAAACTACAAACCCTACTTCTAGCCTTTTCCCACTCTGGATTAACTCTTCTTCATAGCATGTATCTATCTCTGACACTCTAGATAGGTTATGTATTGCTGCTGTTTATATCTCTCTTCACTTATTCAAAGGCCAGTTCCACAGGAGCAGGGAGAGTTCATCTATTTTGCTCACTGCCATAGACCCAGCATTTAAAACATGGCAAATACATTACGTTGAATTAGGCTGCATTAAATGTATCAACCTTGTGCTGCTTGAAGGATTTCTGGACAAAATGTTCTTGGTTTGTTTGTCTGGTTGTTTGTTTGGGACAGAGTCAGAGTGTGTAGTTTAGGGTGGCCTTGAGCTCCCGGCAACCCTCGGGCCTCTGCATCTCAAGTGCTGGGATTTCAGGCCCTCACCACCATGCCCAGTGCCCACCAATGCTTGTAAGCCTTCAGTTATAATCATGTACAACTCTCAATTCTTGCTCAATTCTATGGAGTGTCATTTTTATTGGAGGGTTTTTTTTATTGTGTTCACCTACACTGAATAATTTTACTGAAAATCATCACATTACAGTAAAACATATCTTGCATCCTGACTGAAATTTTCACTCAAAATGAAGTGTCATTTTCTTTTAGGATAACTAAGTATGAAGACTGCCCCTACAACGCCATCACTGAGTTCAACGCTTACAACACAGACATTACTAGCAGGATTATTTAAATAATTTTTGGACATTTTTGCCAACTATCCTTTAATTCCTGAGGCAACTATCTAGACACTCATGATGGTTATAATAGCTTTTCCCTTGAATATTCATCATGGATTAGGAGTAATTTGTTTTTAACATAATCTAACATGTTAGTTCAATCATTTTGGTTAAACTTTAAAGATTATTTTATTATATAGAAATGTAACACATTTTTATAGCAAATAATTTAATCATTTTCAAATAATGAACAATGACCAAGTAAAAATATGCTTTTTTTTTTTTTTTTGGTGGTACCAGGGATTAAAGGACCTTGCACTTGCCAGGCAAGCATTTATTCCACTGAGCCATCTCCTCAGCTCCCCAAAATACATATTTTCAAAATAATCTTTATTTCTATGAATCCAGGCTCACAACTACTACACAGTTTTACTAACAAGTAGATCTACAGCAAAAACATATATATAAACAGACTAGTGCCTTAAAACAAGCCAGGGACAGCAACGCATGCTGCTCTTTCTAATTTATCATGACTCGAGCTAAGAAATAATAAAATAGGCTGTTTAGAACAAAATATCAATAGACACAAAATATAACTACTAAAAGAAAAACTTACCTGCCATCCAAGGTTATTATATGTGGGTCAGTAAATGAATAACAGTAAGCAGCTGGGACATCTTTAACTCTGATCTTAAAAATAAAAATACTTTGGTAAATACAACCATTAATTATTATTTAGGAGCAATAAGTAGGTCAGCAATTGCAATGAATTCTTGTTTAGATCATTGCTTTGCAAACTGAATCATTTAAAAGCTAAGATAATTTATCAAATACTTTTAGATGAAAACTGATGATACGAATGATAAAATAGAAATATCTGTTAAGGATTAAATTATAAAAGTAATTTTCTGCTTTGTCCACCTGGACGCTGTCTGGGATGTAGTTGTTCCACAGGAAATTCTTGTTAACTATGGGTTCAACTGTGATGTTCGTAACTCTGTCGCCGTCAGGAAAAAGATCTGACACAGCAGTGTAGGTCACAAAAGCATAGCTACAAGTTCCATTGTCACAGGACGACATCTGGAGGAGGTCCACGTGGCAAGAGGAGAGCGCCAAGTTTAAGCCTACGTGTTCTTTACCTATTTGAATGAAAATATAAGTTCAAAATTTTCCCAAGAGTATAGGCCCTAAGCATAACATGTGCTAGCTTCAGTAACATCAAACAATGAACTAAAAAGTTAGTCTTAAATTCTTTCTTAAAATATATAGGTTTCAATTTTGTTCAAATTAAAATGAAGCTATACTTTATATGCAGACACCCACATTACTATTTTTAATAAAGTTAAAAATCCATATGAACCTAGATAAAATTCAAAAGCAATAAATAACACAAAATGGTGATAGAGATGGAAAATGCTAAACCTCTGATTTGATCAGTACATATTGCACGCATGTATTGAAGTATAACACTGTACTCTACAAAGATATACAAGTGTTGTGTATTAAGATATTTAAAGAATTTTAACAAGACAAAAAATTAATAAATAAAAGTTATCCTTGTTTCCGTAAAAATTAAGAATTCACAACATCAAGGAAAATAATTTGGTTTTTTTTCAGATAGTAATTGACTTTTTAGAATACGTGTTCCTCCTCCATCCACTCTTGACTCCTAGCAATGTATTTAATTATTTATATGGGTCCCATCATCTCAAAAATTAAAAATAATGAATAAGGCAACCCTCAAACCAGTAGTGCACCACCTTCTTCCACTTTCCAAATGCCCCAACACCTTCTAAATCTTGAGATGCTACCTCAGTTATGGAGCAAAGATTAAGAAATGAATTTAGAAAAGAAAAGGTGACACAAAATGAAGGAACTCTAGCAACTTGTACAGCTAAACAAAAAGAGCAGATTTCTCAAAGGAACTAGGCATAAAGGATGTATACGTTTTTGTGTATTTTTATATGCTTCCAGTAACTACAAAGTCCTTCTGAGAATCAAGGAGGGAGAAAGAAATTAAAACCTTTCTATCTTCTTTTGTTCCATGCAGATTTTAAGGTACAAAATTATAATGATCTGCTGTGGGTGCGTCAAATTAGATTCAAAATTCCTTAAAAAATGTTTTCAGTTACCCACTTTTTCTGGGTAGAAAGACACTCTTCTCTCACACACATGAAAGTGAATGGGAACATTCAAAGTCTTAGCCTTCTCCCTAAGGTGAATGTGGACAATTTCTGGCTTAGAAATAGCCCATGACAACATTTCTTGAGTTCATGCTATGAGGTCCAAGCGTTACTCCTTTTAAGCCTTTTTTAAAGCAGCATATTCTCTGCAGAAATACACTGAGACTCCAGTGTTTTCTCCAGAAAAGCAAAGATTTAACAGAAATACATTCCAAGGAGATAAAGTGAGGGATATCCAGAATGAAATCAAGATTATTTTCTGTAAGTAAAAAGAGAACCATTTTTAACTGACAAAGAATAAGGACACACAAGCTCCTAAATTATAAGGAATATATTCAGGCTCTCTCTATGGACATAATTGCCCTAATGAACAAACTCAGAACATGATGCAAATATTTTAAAGTATATGTGAAACTGAAAGAAATCACTGCCTGATATAATTTTGGAATACAGCAATAATATTATCTTCCTATCCTCCCTATAAATTATAAGGTTTTTATGATATGGTTTTCAGAGAAATCTTGAAGTATGATTTTTGTCAGCCTGTGATAGCATATAAAGTCGTATTTCTGAGCTAATTAAAAGTAACATGCTGCTTATGGTGCTTCTGCAATGTGGGTAACTGGGGGGGGATCTAGCCCACTGAATTGCCAGCTCTCTTAGTGTGACCTCCCTAACTTCCCCTTTAATTTCCTGTTCATCTTTTGTCTTGGATACACAGTTCCCATGAACTGTATGTGGTCTTTCTATTCTTTTATTTCTTTTCTAAAATTTAAAAAATACTTTACCTATTTACTTGATACTAGGTCTCTCTAAGCAGCGTGGACTGGTAGTGATCCTCCTCTCTCAACCTCCCCAGCACTGGGATTACAGATGTGCACCACCACATCATGTTTCCAGGGCTGGCACTGCCTGCCCAGGGTTCCAGGGCCATCGCAGCACGCAGTACTGGGGATCGAACCAGGGTCCTTGCACTTGCTAGACAGCTCTTAGACCATCAAACTATCTCCCCACCTCACTATTCTTTTATGTCTCAGAATTTAATTAGGTATAGCATGAACCTAACTGGCTTTTGGTGTAATTACTAAATAAATGTGTTCTAGAGTGAATGGTCTAGAGTGACACATGAGCAGAATTTTAATCTCTCATACAGTCTACATTAATCTACATACCAAGTAACACCTGTGGCTTGCTTTCAGCGCAGGCTTAAGAAGGGACAGAACTCAAGCAACCCCAGCTCTGCTATACCTGGCTTGTCCTTTTATACTGAGAGGATTGTTGTACTTTCAGTACAGTTGCAAAGTAAGGGAGATACGGTCTTGCATCATAGCTCTATAAAGACAGTAATTTAATCAGAAAAAGCTTAAGACAGAAGATCTCAAATGCAGGCATACATCAGGGAAAGAAGCATGAAGACAGTGATATAAGATCCATGTTTCACAAGCCTGAACATTAAGCAAAATTTATCAAACCTTCATTGAGGATGATTTGGAAAAAACCTTCAAGAGCATTGTGGCCCTTTCAGGAAAAAACAAAGCAATGAGAAGAATAAGTAGGAGGATAAAGAGAAGGAAAATGAAAAACAGGTGGAAAAGGAAAAAGAGGAGGGAGAATAGAAACATGGTCATGAACAGGAGGTTGTTTGCTTTCAAAAAAAAATCATGCTTTGAGTTCAGGAAGAATAAATATGAATTGCCTCTTGACAGGCATCGCTTTTGCTGCAGCATCTCCAGCATGGTCTAGCTGGGGGAGGCGGCAAAGCGCACCCCTGTAACCCCAGCACTCAGGAGGCTGAGGCACGAGGCCAGCCAGCCTGCGCTGCATGACAAGACCCTGTCTCAAAACAAACAAAAAATACGATCAAGTTCTAAGTGCATGTAAACACACAGTATCACTTATTTTATGAGTATACTCCAAGAACATTTTCTAGGGGAAAAATCATTAGTTATCACTCAAAACCTAATAACAAAATTAAATGAACTAATGAGTTACCTTGATCGACAGTTTTCAGTTTTAATGAGATTTTGCACTCTTGGTCAAATTCCCTAAACTCAGAGCAAACAATAGGAACTGTGCTCTCTATCCTCAGCTGGTACTCCTTCCCGTCTTCTGCTATAGTGTCCAGCTCGGGATGTAACTGATGTAAGAAAACGTGAGAGCAGTTAGGTTAAAATAGAATTCATTTCTGACATATAACTGTGAAGGCACATTTTCTCAGCAGCTCATCTTTGCTGCTAGTAACTTCATTTTTTAATTAAATGAAACCAACTAACACAAAACCACGTAAATATATAAGCAACATGCAGAGAAGTACAGGGAGTCACTACACAGCTCTGGATTTAGACTCAGTTTGGTCCCCCAGAACATTGTGGGTGAGGTGCAGCCTGCCTTACGGACTCCAGTTCTGTGGTGTGGAAGCCACTGGAAAATGGCGAGGACAGATTTCTGTATTCTTCTACTTGTGAGCTACTGTGTGCCAACAACCAATGGAAATGTCTGGTTATTTTGGCAGATTTATACGCCTCACCTTCATTAGAAATTTGCTTGTTTTAGTAGATAAGTTCAAGTATTGTTGCCACTTGTGAAATCTCAACCCCCAACTTATTTCAGAATCTTTGCTGTCCGCAGTTAGAACAACTAGGTATCGCTTAGGCCTGTCACTACTCCAGTTCACCAGTCATGTTGTTTTGGAAGCAGGGATTTTTTTTTAATGCACTGTGCTAGCAAGTTTTGACTAGCTCTTCGAACAGATGTTTCTTAGTACTGGCTGTTCTCTCTGTTAGCTTAATTAGAAAACAGTTTTTAGGGGCAGATCGCTGGCCCTTTATGCTGTCTGCTGAGTGGTGGGCAGTGTAGATCACAGGGTCCCTATGTCTCCGAGTTCTGAGTTCTGCTTCGCCTTAACTGCAGGTGTGTTGTTCTGATAACGTAGTCTATTCGTCCTTTCCTGATCCCTGCTGTGCATTCATGGGCTTTAAATAAGTTTGATCGTGGCCCTGAGGCTTGTCCTCATAATCTGTCAATATCCCCTTCTTGTCTTTGAACTAAGACTGAGTCCAAGTCAAAATGCAGTCCTGTGAGTAAAATAGATACACCGTGCTTGCCTGCTTTCAGCTCTTGGTATTGCCAATTGTCACACGCCTTCCGTCACTTCTGATCCCATCACCTCTGCTCACCTGTTAAAATAGCTTATTGGCTCTTAGGCCCCAATGCTACAGTGCAATTCCCAAGGCGCTGCCAGGCTCCGAGGCAGTTTTACTTTCATCAGATCTCTATTTGCTGACCTGGTACTGCTCATCAAAAGCATACAGTAACTAATCATTGATATGCTAACTTTTAGTTATATGATAGAATGAATTATGAGAATAGAGCCTTTGCATTTTCCCGATCTTTTGCCATTTTGTAGGAAAAAAAGTACTCCCTTTATGATGGTTTGAATTCTCATTTTTTAAAATTTTATTGATGATGCAAAAGTAATACATATTTAGTAGAAGCTACACTTTGAATTTGAATCTTTTCCTAGGCCATTAGATACTCAACCCTGATGCTGGGCAGGACAAGGGTACCACAGCTCCCAGAGTCTGCGATCACAAGAAGAAATGACCCATATTCTACAGTGTGCTAAGTTGCTAAGCTACTGTAGTGCTAAGGAGGTTGGGTGCATTGAGGGCATTTGTGGCTGATGCTATTTTCAAATTTTTGATGACTTTACTGGAAAATAACTTTATCATAAAGCAAAGCGCATCTGTATACCCTAACTTGAGTTCATCAACAGGAGTTCTCAAGTTTTGTTGTGCATTAGAAGTATTAGGATTGTCCTTCAAAAATACAGAACCTTGAGTTCCAACTTTGTGATTCAGTTTGTGAAAACTCCACGTGCGTTATGGACAGATCACAGTGTGGCAGACAAATGCAGAGGATTGTTTCCGGCTCCTCCCCACGGGCACATACCTTAATGCCTGCAAAAAATTCTCTGCTTTCTCTGGCTAGACTTTGTACATGCGGTCTCTCCAAGAAAAAGACAGAAGCACTGCAGAGTATCTACGAATACAGTTAACAAACAGTTACCAATGAAGTTATGGACAAAGATATATAAATTATTGTCTTTAAATTCTTAATTTAATTGGTAGATACTGTACAAGAGATAAAATAACTAAGTACTTTAGATACCTGAAATTTTACAAGAATTCCATTCTTATAAAATATCACTTATTTGATCTTTCATGTAATTAAGATATAGTGGGTTATGTAATATGTATTTCAAAGTAAATGAAAATGATATTATCATTGAAGAAAGTAAAATGCTATTTTCCAAACATAAAGATTTCATTTTATTTTTTTTTAAGATTTCAGTTGTCTTTATTTTTTTTCTTTTCAAAGTTTTATTGATAAACATATAGCAATGAGACAGTTTCAAATCAAATCGAAAGTACAGTTTCAACAAATAATACACTGCATATATTCTTCTTAGTGGTTAACTGCTGTACAAGATGCGGACTTGTGATCCTACTTACAAACACCATTAGAAGAAATCATTCTATTCATTAAGAGAATGCAACTATATATCTATCCCAACCACTTTGAATACACAGATACAAAATGGACATTCATAGTTATATCCCAATTTCTTTAAGTTCTGTTGTTGAATATTATAGATGTGTAAACTCAACAAAATATTCTAAAAGAGTCCAGTAGCCCATAATAGCATTGGGTCTTCTGTTTAACTGGCAATGTCAGAAATTATTGACCTGAGTCCCCCACAGCTCAACATAACAGCATGGCTTTATTTCCTATATTTCGTCATCATACTTTTCTACTGGATGGTTAAGACCAAGGTAAAGCAGGACCTATGCAACAAGAGTTGTAGCTTTTTGGTCTGAGAAGGTCAGTGAAATGCCCTCAGGATTTATCCTGAGATCCTGTACCTCAGATTGTAGAACCTTTATCAGTGCAGCCATGTGGATGAGTCACGGCCAATGCTTGGCCAATGTGCTCTCTGTGAAAGCCTGAGAGAGTGTCTTCTCCCCATGTGACTCTCCTTAGGCACACTCTCCGTCATCGATCACTTTCCTCTTTGGCCCCAAAAGATCTCATTTTAAAACCCCAAAAAAGACATAGTTACAAAGATTCATCAATAATATAATAATCAGCAAATTTCTCAAAAGAAATGTTCATATAGAGACTGTATTAGTGGCTCATCTAATTACTACTAGAATTAGTACAATTACCTTGGAGCAAAAAATTGAAAAGTCATTAATGCTTTATCTTTGAGGACAAAATTCTTTCTATACAAAATTCCTGTATAGAAAACAATATATCCATGAAAATAAAAGATAATCCATTTTTTTTAACATACCCTGTCTCCAAGTCTGAGATTTATGCCATCAAGTTCTAAAAGAGAGAATGCTTGAAGTGTGGTCTCTTGTTTCAGCTCTTCTTTGATTTCTTGAGCAGAAAGCCTAAACCAAGCTACAAGAAATCCCACCGAGCCGTTGGTCGGGGAAACATCAAAAGCACACCTGCAGAACAGTCTGGCCTCAATCACGTCCACCGAAACCTCTGGCCTTCCGGGAGGGGGAGGGGGCAGAGTGGCCAGCGGTTGACCTGGTGGGAGAAAACGCATAATTCATAAATGAAGACCATAAAGAACGAAGACTGGCTCCTGGAAAAGGCATACAAAAGTCATAACTCTGGTATTTATTTAAGGAAAAATGAAATATGTTCAGAAAAAAATGATTATTTTCCAGCCTTCAACAAGTTAGCACTGCAAAAACGATTATTTTCTAGCAGTCAGCCCTCAACACATCCGTGTTGGAGCCATCTGAACGTTTTGCTTGCACAGAGAGCTTGCTTCATCAAGCTTATGCTGATGTGAGCTGCCTGCCTCTGAAGAAATCTGCTTGCTTGTTGGGGAAAAAGTAATTTACCTTTTTTTAAGCAATGATCTTTCCTAAAGACTGAAGAAAGAACATTCAGATTTTGCACATGCTTATTTCTTGTTCTAAAGAAAAAAGGCACTACCATGTAAAATCAAATGGCTCTTTTATAATTTACTCTTACTACTTAACTTTAGCCAAGAAGAGCTATTCATTCTGGAAATGATTAATGAAATGACCTGTCAAGTGTAAAAACAGTAATGTTATTTTTTTTTTTCATTTTTCTGAGACTAAACAAAACAAAAATCTTTGGAAACCTTTCAGAATCCCAGATTTTACTTTGCAAATGCTCAGAGTTTCAAAAATGTATAAATTACATCATGTGAGTTTCTAAAAGAGATTAGTTTCCATTTCTACCTATTCAGAAAAGTACAAATTGAAAAGAGAAAAAATTTAAATACAGCTGAAGTCTTTGATGATTTATTTTTGTTTGGTACAAATGCAATCTTCTTACAAAACAAAATGGAATTGTACTGCACAATCTACTTTCTTAGGCTACCTTAATGGACCTGCAACGTGGCAGAGGGTTCACCAATGACATCGTAAGACTTTTTGCTCAGCGCTTAGTCATTGTTTATCTATCAGAAGTACTGAACCAGCAGTCCTGTATATTTGAGGTTTTCTTTTTTCACATTATTGGAAAATGTTTTTATAAATATTGTGGTAGTAAATTTCCTTGAGTAGCTCTCTAAAATGGTTTTTGGAAGTAGGTACAAATACATACAGATTTTTCAGAATGTTGCGATAAATTACCAAATTTTGTCATTAAAAAATCCCTTCAATATTCCATTTTTCATTAATTCTCTATACTTTGACTAACTGCAGGAAATACTTCATTTTTTAAAATTTTACTTTTATTTTATTGTTTTGTTTTTGTTGTATTTGGAAGGGGGACTTTATTTTCGATACCTTAATAGTTAATTAGAGTGGGGTCTTCTTTAACTTGAACTTTTCTTCTACATTTGAAAAGTATCTCTTCTTTGTTAAAATTTCCTTAGCTTTCTCAAAGTCAGCTTGATCAAAACCTCTGCTCACATTCCCAGTAAATTCTTTCAGTTTAGCTCTGAGTGGGTTCAATCTCTTATGGCAGCTTCGTTCTCAGCTTCTGTGAGTCTCTCATTAATTCCTATTATTTCCATGAGGACCTGACTGTCCACTTCATGATCTGGCCCTTCAGAAGTGTCTGTTCCACAGAGCTTCAGGAGATCCTGTCCCCTGTTCAGGAGGGCCAGAGGCGTCCTGCAGGTGCCATCACTGTGTCTGATCAAGGTCCTCCTCAGTCTGCGACATCTGGGTGGGAGATCTGGGTGAACAAGGTGCTGCAGCTGCTGGTGCCTGTGCAGGAGCTCTGAGGCCTGGTTGCTCCCTGACGGCCCAGCCTGGCCCAGCCTGCGCTCCCTGCCCTCACGCGGGCCAGCTCCTGCATCTCTCAGGGGTAGCGGGTCTAGTAGCAGTATAATTCAGCATGTAAAGCCACAGAATATAAACCACTAGTTTATAAATATACACATCACTTTTTTTAAAAAAAAATCACTCATTTGTAAATGCATTATTTAAAAAGAAAATGTTATACTTACCAATACAGTCACTTCCAATTTCTGTTTCCCCAGGGCCACATTTGTGTAATTTTGTATCAGAAATAACTGTGAAAGGTTAAGGTTTTAAAATTTATTAACTGAGCATGAAGATATAACCATGCATGTATACAAAGTAAAATTCCTTTTAAAAGTACGCCTTAATATCGTACAAAGACTTTCTTAGTTGTACATTCTGATATTGGTGTTTTGTAATGATTTTCTTAAAGAATAGAGCTTACATTTGAAAATAGTCATAGCTTTAATATACTGTGTGTTAAATTTGAATCTGCATTATTAAATAAAGCAATGCACTTTACAATATCAAAGCTATAGGAACTCACGTGGAGAGCAGAAATCTACATGGTACGATCACTTTGAAACACAATTTGGAAATTTCATAGACAAATATACTCATCGGAAAGAAGCCATGCTTTCCGATAGTTACTGAAAAGAGTTGAAAACTGCACACCAAAACTCGAACATGCATATTTATAGCACCTTCATTCACAATTAGAGATACTGTCTAATTAATGTTCTTGGAGGTAACCATTTTGGTTTGGTATCTTAGAAATATTTCCTGAATCTGTGATATTTATATTTTTAGCTTTATAAAAGTTTCATATTTTAGTTTTTGTAGGTGAGTTATAAACTTTATATTTTTCATGATAAATGTTGGCCTAGGAATTTTATATTTTAGCTTTTATATCTTGGTACGTAATTATTTTGCTAGGATTTGGGGAGTTTGTCTTTTGTATTTTGATTAAAGGTATGGGCTGAAGTTGCCTTTTGCACATGGATAGTGTTGACAATATTATTCTGCACTACTGTGCTGAAACTCCGTCAGCTACGTGCACGTGAATCTATTCCTGGGCTGTATTTTCTTATTGATCGATCTGCTTCTCTTGAAGCAAACACGTAATCTATGTGACAAGCCTGTGCACTATTGCAGATTGGGAACTTTGTCCTTCTAACTAGTCTCTGTTATGAAGTAAAATAGATAATAAAGCCTTATTTTCTTAGAGATTTTTGACTAATATTTTTACATCAAATTTAGAAGCCATTTGAAAACATTACAAAAATGGAGTTGGGATGTTTGGCCTCGTTCTTATGAAAAAATAATTCATTAAAAACTTCCTAAAGTATTAAAATTGCTACTTTCCATTGACAATGGGAAGAAATACTTAACCATGGAGAAAACTTAAGTTCTTTACACTGACATTAAGAGGTAAGACTTTCAAGAAATAAAAGTGCTTGAAATGTCAAATAAATTCCTTTTTCTAACAGTATTGGACTGGGGAGATAGCTCAATAGAATAAGTGCTTGCTTGACAAGCACAGGGCCCTGGTACCACAAAAAAAAAAAAAAAAAGAATTCTAACAATACTGGTTCAAATTTTGTAGCCATGAAAAGCACAATTGTTTTTTCAGATTGATATTTATTATATGCAATTAGGTTATTAAAATTCAAAACAACTGGGGGTATTAGGAATTGAACTCGGAGCCTCACACAAGCACTCTACCTTGAGTTCTGCCCCAGTTCTAATGTTTCATTTCAATTTCTCTAAGACTTGAATAACTACTGCATTTGTTTTGCTGTATCTGTATTTTGTGCTTGGTTAGCTTGGAAAATCTAAGGGCTTCATGAAAATGTTTTAAGTGTTACTGTTGCAATAATTAATGCTTGCTGAATTAAATTCGTCTTACTTGATACCAGTGATCTACAACAGTATGTTCCAGGATTTGAGTCTTCTATATAGATTTAGAGCTTTATTATTGTCTTAACATTTCAAGCCAAATGTGAAAAAGAAAAACAATCCGAATAAGCAAACAAATAATGCCGTGATATAGTTTCTGCTGTGAGTCTCCCACATTCAATGAGTTGAACTATTTCTACCAATACACTGCTGTCAAACACATTTTTAAAATGTATTTATTACAGGGTCTCACTACACAGATCAGACTCGTAGTGATCCTCCTGTTTTCAGCCTCCCAAGCACTGGGATTGCAGGTTAGTGCCACCACACCCTAACCTGCAATCCCAGTGCCCATTTCTCAGCGTGCCCCGAGAGTGGGGCTGTCACAGCACACCAGGGATCGAACACCAGTCACTACATCTGCCTAAGCAGGCACTTTAATCCACTGAGCTATCTGGCTGGCCCAGCATAGTGTTTTTTTTGACAATACTAGATCATAGCACCCTCACGCGGAGGGCTGACTGACTGCTTTCAAAAGGTTCCTGGTCATAGCTTGGTATAGTTTGGATCTTTTCCTCTATGTATCTAATGCATTTGGAACCATGGATACTTATTTTATTCTCTGATAGTAGGGATTTATATATACTTGCTTATTTCATTGAGGCTTATATCCAGTTTCTATTTTATTGCTTTGTTTACTTTTGTTATTTTGACACAGGGTCTTGCTGTGTAGCCCAGGCTGGCCTAAGACTTGCAGAGATCTTCCTGCCTCAGCCTCCTGAGTGCTTGGATTCAGGCAAGTGACATTACAATTGGCCAATTTATTTTTATGTATTTTTCTGAGATATTCCACTAGAAAATAAATTCCAGGTGGTCAGAGCTCTCATTTGTCTTGTTCTGACAGTGGGCCCAAAGCCTGAAATATTTCATAGTACAGGAAATACATTTACTTCACTCATTGCAATGAGTGAAAGATCAAATCATATAGAAGCCAAACTTTTATAATTCTTTCTTACTATTTTTGATCCTTTAATGAAAGAAAGATTGTGAGCAAGCCAAAGAATTTTTAATGCAATTGTAGTACACAGTGGAAAAATGGCAAAAACTCTCTTATATCAGCACATATTTTTGAGCACTTTGAGAATGTGGAGGCTGGGTATAAAAGTGGATACCTGTAATCCCAGCACTAAGGAGGCTGAAGCAGGAGAATAGCTGCAAATTTGAGGTCAGCCAGGGAAAATAGTAAATTCAAGGCCATTGTGACCTATACAGTGAGACACCCCCTCCTCCACACCCCCAAAAAAAGAATCCCAAACAAACACGGGCAATTTAAACAGGTGCTCTGACTTCAGCTGAGCAAGAACAGCAGATCGGTGTCCTGCTGAGATTCTCAGTAGCCCAGCAAAACCTACGCTGAGAGTAGCACGACAATCACACGCGGAGTTCCAGCAGCAGCAGCTCACGCGCGTCGCCCGCGCTCCTTACCTTCAGCACAGTAGCCCATACATCCCTGAGTGGGTTGTAGAAAGTACACAAAAAAATCCCCACAGTTTCTTACAGACACTGGGATTTGAAAGAGACAACAGTCCTTCCTCGGGCTAAACAGAGACTGCCACGTGGCGCAAGCTGTCAGGTGCTCGGTCTGCCCAGGAGGAGGCAGCGCTTCGGTGTCGCTGAGCGCCAGCCAGACAGGGGCCTGGGTTCCACAGTGGTTCATCTTTTGCACCCAAGGAAACAAAAGTTGAAAATCTCATTTATTTTCATACCAATAAATCAACTTTGCATTTTCTTTAAAACGATCTTTAAAATACAAACTTACTAATGATTATAAAGATCTATTAGCTTGTACTTGTACCGTGGAAAAATAGCAAACTGAAAGTATGTTAAACTTAAAGGTAGATGCCTCATAATTAATACAATGTTACTCAATGTTTCATTGTATTTGTTATATTTTTATTATAAACTAGAGAGATTTGATATCTGGTAAGTAACTAAAAAGGTGATTTATTCTAAAGCAAGATAAGCCGAACATATCTCTCATGCAGCATGAAGACAAACTGATTTCAAAAGGTTCCTGGTCATAGTTTGGTATAGTTTGGAATTTATGGCAACATTTCTGGAAATAATACTTTTAAGAAATTAATGAATAGTTTGTGATGTACCAATAAAAAAGTAAATGCAAAAATTTCAAAATAAAGTGATGAAACCATCATTTAACAATTTGGAAAACATCAAGGAGATTATGGGGCCAAAGAGGAAAGTGATCGATGATGTAGAGTGTGCCTAAGGAGAGTCACATGGAGAGAAAACATTCTCTCAGG